CAAGGTTCCTGGTTGTGAGTACAAGGTTCCTGGCGGTGAGGACAAGGTTCCTGGCGGTGAGGACAAGGTTCCTGGCGGTGAGGACAAGGTTGCTGGCGGTGAGGACACGGTTCCTGGCACGGAGGACAAGGTTCCTGGCCCTGAGGACACGGTTCCTGGCCCTGAGGACACGGTTCCTGGCCCTGAGGACACGGTTCCTGGCGGTGAGGACAAGGTTCCTGGCGTTGAGAACACGGTTCCTGGCCCTGAGGACACGGTTTCTGGCCCTGAGGACACGGTTCCTGGCGTGAGGACAAGGTTCCTGGCGTTGAGGACAAGGTTCCTGGCGTTGAGGACAAGGTTCCTAGCGGTGAGGACAAGGTTCCTGGCAGTGAGGACAAGGTTCCTGGTGGTGAGGACAAGGTTCCTGGTGGTGAGGACAAGGTTCCTGGCGGCGAGGACAAGGTTCCTGGCGGTGAGGACAAGGTTCCTTAAACTCATATTAATAATTCATGAGGAAAATACAAAAGAAATCACTGCTGTGTCGGTGGTTTTGTATGTGATAAAAAATCATGTTCATTTACATAGACTATAGCTTTGATTTTCTCGGCTTACTGGACAGTGTTCAGTTTTAAAACTAATAAGCTATTTCGCCAATGAACTCATCAGATGGGTCGTTTTTTAAGCCATTTAAAACATTCGCAGTTCGTGCTTTATCAGATATAAACCAGTCGAGCTGCACTCTTGTGTTTTATATCTGATGAAGCACTCAGTCCTGTTCGTGTTTTGAATAGTATACCTAACATTAACATCATTCTTCCTGATTACAGCCATAATATAGCGCAAGTTTAAAAGCTTTCACGCTGTCCCGAACGCTCAAAACGTGCAGCAAAACATAGTCAATTAAACTGATCTATCTATCTTAATGTTTTGGAGGACGCGGTGCAGTGGCAATTCTATTTCATGGAACTATGAATATGAAACTAGTTTTCATTTCTCTGACGAATGTTCTGGAATGTTCGTAAATAGCTATTAATAATTAACTATCCTGACCTGTACAGACGTGTCTATGTCATGTGACCTGTCACGGGTCTAGTCACAAATGCTGACAATCCGTGATTGGTCGAGCGGAAGATTCCTGGGACGCGCCGGAACAGGATCTTTCCGGTATAAATTGCGCATTTCGAACGCACTGGTCACAGAGCTCTAGCGCAACCGAAGATTAACATTGAGAAAATGTCTTTGGGTATTTTTTTTAGCTCTTCGTCGGACGATGTTGCGTGGAGAAGCGCGCACTCAGAGTCTCGAGAGGACGATGATGAGTCGAACGAGTCAAATTCTCGTCAATCTCGTATAGACGAAAAACGGCCAAAAACATACATCCGCGCTTCCGTAATTACAAGACGGGAACGTGCGAGCTCCTCTTCGGACGATGTTGAACGAAGCGCGCACGAGGATAGAACGGGATGTAAGCTGTCCAGACGCGCTCGAGAAACGCGCAATGACATGCCCACAACATCGCGCGCTATGTACGAAGAAGATCACGATGATGAGTCGAGTGAAAACAGAGGATGCATGCAAATGCCCTCAAGGTATCCATACTGATGTTATCTCGAGATAAATTGCACTTGTCCTGATAGGCCAATTGGTAGCTTAACATACAAGCAGTTTAGGCTTCTGAGTTTAGGTTAAGCAGTCCCAGAACTGCAATGCGCGCAATCAAACTAATTTGTTCAAACAAGTTGCGCGCTTTAAAGTGAAATGCAAACGTTCGTACATAATTTGGAAAGCTTTGAAGTGCTTGAAGTCATTACATCATTTTACTTTTATTATCTGTTTGCTATCTGCGCAGCAGGGACTTTCCCCTAAATAGGGGCTTCCCTTTTAGCCGCTAAGCATGACGGTAGGAGGCTTCAGGTCAGTGTTTCCACTTCTGCAGCACACAATTTCCTGCTTTGCTCATATGTTTTCTTTATTTTGAACAAAATTTCCTTCTTTTTGTATTTTTAAATCGAAGGTGGAAAATTGTCATTAGACAGTGCGCATCTATAATTTTACAAATTATGTTGTTCTCTGGATTTAAACGTTTTAAAATATTTGATTACAATTATCCAGGGAACAACCGATAGTTTGTAAAATTATTCAATTAATAAAATGCTTGGATTACAAATCTTCAACTCTATTGGATATATGAACATGGTCATGAGTGTACTGGATTTTAGTTTATATATGAGCATGCAGGACGCTACCTAACTAAAGTAGCAAAATGTTAGCACAGCATATTTAGAGGGTATAGACCCATTGCACATGACGTCACAGCGCCGGTGACGATGCATCTGGAGGACAAATTAGCAATCTATGCATAATATAGCCTTTTGCAAACAAAGCAAATTTTGTAAAACTTTATAATAATTTTGTATTAAAATGGTTAAGTTTTGCGCTGTATGTGGTTGTTGTACCCGAACAGATATTGTTAGGGAGCATCTGGAGGACACCCTAAGGATTTGTGACGTCAGTGCAATGGGTCCTATTATCTATCGTGACAACAGGGTCCTGTTTTAGTGCTGACTGCTGCATAAGATCAATCTTCTTCAATCAAATTGTTAGACCAGGGCAAGAAATAAACCAAAACATTGCAACCCTTTCCGCTAAACATTTTCGTATAAACATAAACTAAAGCTCCGTATTACAGGTCATACATCAGTAAGCATGGAATTTCCTTTTGCCCCCAGTTCAAAAGGGTACCCTAGAGCGACGAAAGCCATTAAAATTTCATGATACAAGGTTTTAACTGAGAATATAAATCCATATAGTTGCGTTGGTACCGGATAATATGTAATAAAGTGTAATATATTGCAAAAACAGCTTCTCCCGCATTCATGACGTCATAGGTACCCCCCCGGGAAAGGGTCTTCGCGTGAAACGTCGATGTTCTCCTTGTATTTATCAGGCAGCTGCACACTACCAATCTGAAGTTTCCTTAAAATGTCTTTCCTGACATGTACATGCGCTCAAGTGCGTATGAAAGCACACACAGACCCCACTTATTGTGGCAATATTGTTTTCTAACAACGTGGTGTCAAGAGGCGCCTGAATAAACTGGGCGTTTTGATTGGCAAAATTTCACACGTTACTCTGATTGCCTGTCACAATGCTAACAAGCCGTGATTGGTCGGGCGGGGCTTTGGACGCGCGGGGAACACGATTTCTCGGGTATAAAAATGTGCAGCGCAAACGCACTGGTCACAAATACGACCCCACTCAGTGTGAAACAAGATTAAAATTGAAAAAATGTCTTTGGATATTTCTAGCTCTTCTTCGGGCGATGGTGAATCACGAAGCGCGCACGAGGGTACGACGGGGTATAAATTGCGCACTCGCTCTCGAGAAACGCGCATTAAAATGGCGAAAATGGCGCGCGCTATGTGTGAAGAAGACGATGATGTGTTGAACGAGTCAAAAAATCGTATAACCATGAAACGACCAAGATCGTACGTCCGATAAACTGATTAACTGACCTAAGAAAAGTTGTCTATCTATCTTAATGTCTTGGAGGACGCGGTGCAGTGGCAATTCTACTTCATGGAACTATGAATATGAAACTAGTTTTCATTTCTCTGACGAATGTTCTGGAATGTCTGTAAATAGCCATTTATAATTAACTATCCTGACCTGTACAGACGTGTCTATGTCATGTGACCTGTCACGGGTCTAGTCACAAATGCTGACAATCCGTGATTGGTCGAGTGGAACTTCCATGGGACGCGCCGGAACAGGATCTTTCCGGTATAAAGTGCGCATTTCGAACGCACTGGTCACAGAGCTCTAGCGCAACCGAAGATTAACATTGAGAAAATGTCTTTGGGTATTTTTTTTAGCTCTTCGTCGGACGATGTTGCGTGGAGAAGCGCGCACTCCGAGTCTCGAGAGGACGATGATGAGTCGAGCGAGTCAAATTCTCGTCAATCTCGTATAGACGAAAAACGGCCAAAAACATACATCCGCGCTTCCGTAATTACAAGACGGGAACGTGCGAGCTCTTCTTCGGACGATGTTGAACGAAGCGCGCACGAGGATAGAACGGGATATAAGCTGTCCAGACGCGCTCGAGAAACGCGCAATGACATGCCCACAACATCGCGCGCTATGTTCGAAGAAGATCACGATGATGTGTCGAGGGAAAATGAAGGATGCATGCAAATGCCCTCAAGGTATCCATACTGATGTTATCTCGAGATAAATTGCACTTGTCCTGATAGGCCAATTGGTAGCTTAACATACTAAGCAGTTTAGGCTTCTGAGTTTAGGTTAAGCAGTTTCAGAACTGCAATGCGCGCAATCAAACTAATTTGTTCAAACAAGTTGCGCTTTAAAGTGAAATGCAAACGTTCGTACATAATTTGGAAAGCTTTGAAGTCAGCTTGAAGTCATTACATCATTTTACTTTTATTATCTGTTTGCTATCTGCGCAACAGGGACTTTCCCCTAAATAGGGGCTTCCCTTTTAGCCGCTAAGCATGACGGTAGGAGGCTTCAGGTCAGTGTTTCCACTTCTGCAGCACACGATTTCCTGCTTTGCTCATATTTTTTCTTTATTTTGAACAAAATTTCCTTTAAGGGTTAAAAATTTGTAAAGTTTCTTTTTGTATTTTTAAATCGAAGGTGGAAAATTGTCATTAGACAGTGCGCATCTATAATTTTACAAATTATGTTGTTCTCTGGATTTAAACGTTTTAAAATATTTGATTACAATTATCCAGGGAACAACCGATAGTTTGTAAAATTATTCAATTAATAAAATGCTTGGATTACAAATCTTCAACTCTATTGGATATATGAACATGGTCATGAGTGTACTGGATTTTAGTTTATATATGAGCATGCAGGACGCTACCTAACTAAAGTAGCAAAATGTTAGCATAGCATATTTAGAGGGGTATAGACCCATTGCACATGACGTCACAGCGCCGTTGACGATGCATCTGGAGGACAAATTAGCAATCTATGCATAATATAGCCTTTTGGAAACAAAGCAAATTTTGTAAAACTTTATAATAATTTTGTATTAAAATGGTTAATTTTTGTGCTGTATGTGGTTGTTGTACCCTAACAGATATTGAGTAGGGAGCATCTGGAGGACGCTCTAAGGATTTGTGACGTCAGTGCAATGGGTCCTATTATCTATCGTGACAACAGGGTCCTGTTTTAGTGCTGACTGCTGCATAAGATCAATCTTCTTCAATCAAATTGTTAGACCAGTGCAATAAATAAACCAAAACATTGCAACCCTTTCCCCCAAACACTTTCGTATAAACATAAACTAAAGCTCCGTATTACAGGTCATACATCAGTAAGCATGGAATTTCCTTTGGCCCCCAGTTCAAAAGGGTACCCTAGAGCGACGAAAGCCCTTAATATTTCATGATACAAGGTTTTAACTGAGAATATAAATCCATATAGTTGCGTTGGTACCGGATAATATGTAATAAAGTGTAATATATTGCAAAAACAGCTTCTCCCGCATTCATGACGTCATAGGTACCCCCCGGGAAAGGGTCTTCGCGTGAAACGTCGATGTTCTCCTTGTATTTATCAGGCAGTTGCACACTACCAATCCGAAATTCCCTCAAAATGTCTTTCCTGACCATGTACAAGCGCTCAAGTGCGTATGAAAGCACACACAGACCCCACTTATTGTGGCAATATTGTTTTCTAACAACGTGGTGTCAAGAGGCGCCTGAATAAACTGGGCGTTTTGATTGGCAAAATTTCACACGTTACTCTGATTGCCTGTCACAATGCTAACAAGCCGTGATTGGTCGGGCGGGGCTTTGGACGCGCGGGGAACACGATTTCTCGGGTATAAAAATGCGCAGCGCAAACGCACTGGTCACAAATACGACCCCACTCAGTGTGAAACAAGATTAAAATTGAAAAAATGTCTTTGGATATTTCTAGCTCTTCTTCGGGCGATGGTGAATCACGAAGCGCGCACGAGGGTACGACGGGGTATAAATTGCGCACTCGCTCTCGAGAAACGCGCATTAAAATGGCGAAAATGGCGCGCGCTATGTATGAAGAAGACGATGATGAGCTCAACGAGTCAAAAACTCGTATAACCATAAAACGACCAAGATCGTACGTCCGCGCTTCGGCTACAAGACGGGAACGGACAAGAATGCGCAAACTGAATGTGGCTTACGATAGGCTGAGGAAAGTCGTTCCGAATTTGGGCTGTGATTCGCCGGACGCACGATTATCTAAAATCGCTACTTTACGGCTGGCCATCGAATACATCACAGTGTTGACCGACTATCTTCGGAGTACGGAGAACGACACAATACCGCATGATGGAACCGAGAGTAGCGCCGATGAAGATAACACGAGTTCTGCTTACGACGAATCTAAAGTTCTAGCGGAACTTATCAACAGCGTCGTCGAGGAATTTGGTTGGTTTTTAGGTAGGTTCAGTTTTATCGATGTTATAAAAACCCGCCATGATCGTTAGCAAAGCTGGTTTTAAATTGTTGACAAGAGCACAAATATTTTGTATTCGTGTTTAGGTTTTTGAGTCGGTTTGAAGCAAAAAATACCATGACATTTTGTAGCGTTTCAATGGGTTTCGATAAAACATTTCGTATAGACAAAAGCGTGACAAAATGTGCGTTCTATTAGATTGTAGAGGTTTTAAATAATCTACTCTTTGTTATATTTAATTCTGCCGATGTGGTTGGGCTAAGCCGGACTGAGCGAATCGCGCGAACTATACAGTCGTGCTCTGGGACCAGCGCTTCTAAAACCTACAACAAAAATTTTCAATTTGACTTAATTTTTAGATGGATTTATGTATTTTATTAGATTTTGTGCGATATTTCTACGTATCGTAAACATTTTAAAAACAGCAGCTATACACGTGACATAAGGACAATTTTTTGCCGAAAGGTATAAACGTCCATTCTTCCCCGAAGGCGAAGGGTTGTCTTGCCAAAATGGTGTCCTTTCAATTTGGGTTTTTTCTCTAAAATGCCTAGGAACTCAGCGACACTTTCAAGGTAGCATGATAAAAACATTGCAAAAATATACAGAAGGTTTTATAAGGAATATCTGTCGTGGAGATGCTTAAAAGTAGCGCCCCGTTCTGCCGTTTGCTGGCGAGGCATTTTACGAAACCCAACCGCTAAAACAACTATAAAACATCTGTTGTATTGGTGGACATTTTGCCTTCGAATGGAAGCGAAATAGAGCTGGAATAAGTGCAGTTTTTGTTGCTTTAAAACATTAGCTTGTAAACTGTGACAGTGTCTGTCTTTTGTGGCTTTTAAATTTAGCGAATGTACTGTACAATTTGAGAATTCATGCCGCCTTTCGACGCTCCAAAGAAAAACAACAGCCTATAAGCAGCAATGGCGACTTACGTCACGCACGGGAAGGGATTCTTAGTCTTCATAGATATTTATTGTTCTTATTCGCTCTAAAAACTTGTGCTTCTTGTAAAGAATTTAATCTGCTCTGTATTTATCGCAGAAATTATGCAAGACTGACTTTGTAGTGCAGTCCGTAACAATATAGTTTTACGAGGTATAACTTTGAACAATGACGATGGCCCTTAATTTTCGCCAACTATTCCCCATTTTAAAGCCGCCAGCTTACGCCAGATGCATGTGTTAAACACTTTAAAGATAGTTGTGAAAAGGCAGTTGATATTAGGGATTATTTCCAGCTAAAAAATTACATTGTTTAACATGTTTCAAACGAGAAAATCAATTTTGCGCAAAAATATGTTTAGTCACTGCTTCGCTGGTTTAATGCAACAGGCATAGTGGATCTCTATTAGAAATTTAAAATATTTGCAAAAGTCAATGGCTCTGTGCCACTGTCGGGTAGTTAAAACATGTATAATTTCTTCTTTTAGACAACTATTTTTGATGAGTCACACAAGTTCATGTCGTACAAATTAGTCTTAGTTTAAAATATCATGTTATAATCATGATTGTTCAATACATATACATAATCGCTTTCGCTTAATCTTACAAAATGTCTAAACTGGCATAAGTACTTGTGTTCAAATTTCCAATATTTCGGCTCAACTATTACTCTATATTATTTTGCTCTTTGCTTATTTTGGTTATCTTTGAATATTATTTTAGAAGACCAGTGATGGTTCTTCCAGAGCAAATGGTTAAAGTTCCCAAGGAAATAAAAGAGAAGTCGAGCTTTCCAATGTAAATGCCTCGGAAATCAAAGAGATACACGAGTCGGAAACTCTAGCATGAGAGAAATAAAGTTAAGGACAATTAAATAAATCATGCGGAAAGGAAGAACATTGCATGTTACTACTATAGGTACTAAAAGGTGATAAAGACGTGACTTGGAACAAGAGGTGTAATGATTTGTTTGCAACGGAAATTATTTTGAACAAAATTTCTAAGTTTAAGTAGGATGTTCACACTTCACTAGTGATATAGCCATTTCTCGAGTGTGTATGCTTATAATTAGCTGAGTTTGTAAGGTTAACAGCAAAGTGCACAACAATTAAATAATTGACTAAAATGTCCATAATCAGGAACTACGTACCAAAAAATTGGAAGTGTGAAACGGCATTTTATTCATACAATAGAACATTCAAAGATTAATCCTTTTGCTAGCCAAGGTAGGATATTAAGATTAAAAAGTACGGTGAAGTGTGCGCACACCAGCTTCAACTTCAAACTAATTTGCATAAATTACGTCTTGGAATTCTTCCAGCATCCAATGTAATTTATACAAATTTACACACCCTGTTTATGATTTCCGTAGCAAATTAGTGACCAAATTAGTATGTAGGTAAATTAAAGAGTAATATTTATTGATTTTGTTTACAACGAGTACATTCAAATGACTGCGCCCAGTATAGCGAATGAACACTGATATAAACAATATTATTTTATACATACACTGAATAAAAATGTATATATGTGAATTGAAATTAAATATAGACAAACTTTGCTTGACATTTGTATACTAATGTTTTAATGGTCAGCTCACTTCATATTGAAAATAGTGTAAAAAAAATACGTACAGATTTTTCCTTACTGACAAGTTTTCCTTCACAAGTTTAACTTGCTCGTATCTACAGCAAAAAATTGACAATGTTTCCTTGTTAAAGAACCTTGTTCCAAAACTAGTCATGCATCTATGGCTAATTATTTTCATTCCTTTCCGCATATCGTCGCCCTAAGCCATAGATAAGCCGACCATAGCTACGTTTATACACCGTATCGCGGATAGCTTTTCATAGCGACGTGAAAAAGACACCTATATCCGTATACCTTTTAGGAACGCTATTTTCAGTGGAATTAATATTATTGCAACGTAGAGATGTTGTTTCGCTCAGCTTCTGAAAGTTGTATATTCCGTATCGGATAGGTGCTTTTTCGCGCCGCTATGGAAAACTAACGGTTTTGTGTAAAGCTTATCAGCTTTGTTATGTTTCGCTTAGATTTATTCTTGTTTATAAGAAAACGGTGATCAATTTACCACAAGTGGGTGACAACTTAGAAGGGGAGGGGGGAGGTAGCTTCATGGCCATTATCATTCTTTTGACGCCAAATTTGTACAAACAGAAGTACAATACTTATAACACCTTGTTCTCGTTAATGAGTAATCTTGTTAGTTTAGCTGTTTAGCGAGGCAATAACATTTAACTCTCCCTGCAAACACGCAAATATTTCAGCTCAACCGGAATTTTTGAAGCGCCGTGAAGCATTCTATTCCGAGCAACACTCGCGGAAACGTCGTAGGAGGCAAGCGATGAAAAAACGTTGACGGAGTGGACAATGTGTGAGTTCCTATGCGAACACAAAGCGGTTTCTTCTACTCGTGATAAAATCTCCAAGTGGGTCTCGAAATGTGACAACGAGCCACAATTAACATCCTGACGGCCTTCAAAACCGTGAAGTGTTTTGCGAGGCCTAGGCTAGGGATCTTTTCACGTAGTTCAGACACAAACCATGGCCGCGTTCTTTGCCGAAACATTATATTCTAGCTATAGTACTTCGCATTGAACAAGTTAGTTATTGTGTTAGCCCGTAGCTCCGTAAACTGACCTCTAGGGTAGGGCGAAAATAAAACTGATATCCTAAGCTATAACGTTTTCTATAAACAATCTAAGTAAAATTTAATAGTTCACATGCGATTTAATTAATCCCGAAGCTGAAACTATCTCGTATGCTACAGAGTATAGCACTTACTTGCATATGGCTATGCCGGTCACCGGCATATATGTGTTTAGACACAGTACTGTTCGTCACGAAGCCAAGGGCACTACATTTCATCACAGTTGTAATTTAGGTACAAATTCGGACAGTTCCATCGGTTTAATGAAGATTCAAACATACATATGAGGCAGCACGAGAATTGAGTGTTAAACGAGCGCAGGTCGAAGACTACCTTTCTAATTTGCATATACTGATTTACAATCCAGGCCTATCCCAAGAGTCGGTTTAGAACAATGTGTGACTGGAGAACAGTGGGATTTTTATGATAACGTCAAAGACGCCAATTAAAACAATGGCAATGCATTCCGGCGTTTGCTCTTCAGACTATTGTAGTGCAAGGCTTTTGCTTTGTTCTACCTGTAGAAAAGCCTTTGTACTTGATATTATTTTTGCCTCATGCATAAAAAACGAGATCGTTAGAAATCAAGCGCTATTGTTGGAAATAATACAGAAGTGAATTTTGTGCATGACGAAGTTATTTAAAAACTTTAGTTTCGTTTCGTCCAACATATGAATTATGAGCTGATTAAACGAACTGATGTTGTGACTAATTAGTAATCTGACAATTTTGATCAGTTATATGCTCTTTCATACGATTAGAAGCTATTTTAAATTCCCAGCATAAAATCTTGTGGCACTTGTGCAGTTATAACCGATACAAGGTGATAGCTTGACTTCTATATAGGATTAATTGTTGCTCAACTGTTCTAGGCACCAGTATCCGACCACCGTGTGTATTTTACAGACTGGTGTGATATAAAACGGAGCTGATCTGTATTTTAAGACACGTTATAATATTCCCACAGTAACTGCTCATCGATCATAATGTCAACACTGCTGTAATGATGTGTGTTTAATATACCGGACGGGAAAAGGCGACTGAACCATTCATTATCAATACTTACTTTATCAAAGGTAGATTTCGGGCAGGATTAGTAAAATCTGGGGGCGTTATATAAAGCGCGCAGCAATCCTGATAAATTTCGCCTTTAATTAAATGATTAGGTTTCATGCGTGTATTATGCTAAAATATCTAAACTTCATTTGAACTGGATATACCTAAACTGTTCGCCCTGGAGGTCGTTTAATACGGTGCTACGGGCTATTTCTGACTCGTGTCAGCCCAAACAGGAAAAAAAACATAAACTAAACTAGAATTTTATTAATACTGAATATAGTTCTATCAGTCCTACTCTGTTCTCCCTAGTCAGTAAGGATCATCTCTTATTGATCCAGTGTTACTACAGGAGGAAACCTAAACTAAACTAACTTTATTTATACTGGATAGCTCTATCAGTTCTAAACAATTCCCCTTAGAGGTCCAGTAAGAGCCATACCTTTATAATTTTTTATTCGGTCTAGAATGTTACATCGACAGACACTGTTAACTAGTTCTAATCAGGTGACGGAAAATATGCAAATGAGCTAATTACCCCGGCGAACGCGCAATTAACTTCTCAATCATCACGCTACGCTATTAAGGATAATTTTGACACAAAACGACTCGGGTAATAAAAGCTTGTTAAATTGCGGAAATCGCACGTTATAATTGTTTTTACTCGCAAACCTTTTAAAACCTTTTTAAGAACAATCATCTGTACAAAACTCGAAAATTACCGCATACGAAACTAGTTTGACAACTTGGTTTGAGAAAAATGAACGATGGAGGGGAATAAGAGTTGTTCGGCGACAGATGGTCACCAGTTCTGTGTGGAAGTCGTTTCGGACATTTCTTTAATGTTAGGCATAGATTGGATATAGTGCGTGTTGTTATCACATAATGTCATGAGAACATAATTGTTTTATTCGTTCATACGACACATGCCATTCCTTGTCGGTTCCTGGTATTTTCAGTTACATCCTTGCCGTGAGAGGTTGGGGTCACCAACGGCAATTACGTTCATTCGTTTTGTCAAAGTTCTTTAAAAGCAGTCATGCCATAATCATTAGAATACGGTTAGGAAACCCGATGTAGACCTCATTATCTAGTGCAATTCTTGGTTTTTGCAATCTCAAGATTTTGGTCCAAATGTATAAATAAGCGAAGTGAACATTATCTCGTCAGACGTTTATGGTTTTGAAAAATATTGTTAAAATCGTAGGTACCTCGGAACCCCTATATATTGGGCAATAGCTTGTTGGAAATCCGTTCAGCAATGAGTGTTTGAAACTCAATATAACAAACAATATAATATATAACAATAATAACAAAAAAAGACACTAACATGCTCCATTGTGTGACAAAGCCGTCTAATGATAATAATTCATACTCATTCATATATTATTCAGCTCACTTCCCAATGGGGCTTTTCAATGACCGATTACATTAAGTTTTACGCTAATTTGTATCACTTACTTAGCCAAGACCAATTATCTTTACCTTGTTAACTTGCCCTGTGGGAGGAAACCGGAGCTCCCGGAGAGAACCTACAAGTTTTGGCAGAGTGTTGACTGACTCTTTGCATGGTCCCGCAGTGAGAATCGAACCGACGTTCTCAACTTCTCAGAGGTGAAAGGCGCTTTCTCTGATGACTACACCACCCTAACCTTAACCCTAACCTCAACCATGAGAGCATGGGTAGGCTATAAATTAAAGCTAAATATTGCATGGAATTTAAGGTGGTTATATGTTGGCAAGCCAAAAATTGGAAACTATCAAAAAGAAACTATCATAACAAAGCGCGGACAGGGTGCAAAGGTTTATTATCAAAATCAACTACGCATTCACAATGCATACTATACAAAGAAATTATACAATGGTCAACGAATATAACACTCTCGTATATTGAACATAAACTGTATTCCAGTCTCGGTGCTTGTCCTTCTGATAAATTACTGTCAGTGAAAAACCATAAAGTTTCCGTTCGTAACTATGAAGTACTATAGTCATCATGAATCAATCTAAAAAATAAAAAATGTAATCAGCTTTCCTTACTTCTAGTTTTACAAAATCAATCAGTTAAATATTGAATTGCGTCGCTAATAAAGAAATGGCGTCACTCATAAAGACATGACGTCACGCATAACACATGACGTCACGCAAAAAGATACGACGTCACCCATAAAGACAAACGTTACTCATAAAGACATTACGTCACGCATAAAGACATGACGTCACGCATAAAGATACAACGCCGCCACCCATAAAAACAAACGTTATTCTAAAGACATTACGTCACTTATAAACACATGACGTCACTCAAATATGTGACGTCACTAAATATAACATGACATCACTAAATGTGAAATGTATTTTCTCACCATTTACAACTCTCCCAAGTTATCATGGACATTATACTCGACCCAATCCCTTGCGATGGGCGCGGATAACATTTCATCAGGTATAGCAAAGGCATCACAGAGTGCCATGGCATCGGGAGCCAGCTGTGCGCAGAGGTCAGCGGCTTCTGCATTCACTTTAGCAGCTTCGGCGGCGGGCAGTACTTGAGCGAGTAAGGACCATCCTAGATCTTTTTCCAAAACATCCATGATATACAAGCGATGAAGAAGATTTAAAATTTTTTTGTTTTCTTCGCTCGCGTTCTCGGTGACGGCCAAAAATCTCTCGCTAATCAACCTGTCACCAAACGCTCTGGCGGCAGCCTGGATATTGTCGCTCGCCTGGTACATCCATGTCTCAAACAAACCTAAAGTACAAATATGATGTATGAAGCGAAGCTAGCCAACCGGTCATGCCATGCCAATAAACTTGCATCTAAATAGGTTAAGGACCATACATTTCTAAAGCTTTGAATAATGCAAATCATTACAAATTTGCATAGCATGACCTGTTGCTATGGCTAGTTTCCATACGTAGCTACAATCTTGGACAAAACCCATTCCAGCCAATATTACAAAGTTATTGAACATCGACAAAACAAATTTGAAAAGTTCAGTATTTGTAAAACAACGCCGAAACAACTTTTTGGTAATATACCATGCTAGTGTCACTAGTCTGCGATAGAAGACTGATCTCAGCGGACCCCCCCACCCCCCCCTGGAGCGGCGGAGAAACAGTCTGCGATCAATCAACACTAATGCGGTACAGTTACGTAGGCAATATTTTGCATAATTAATTTAAAATTATTCAAAAAATGTCAAGTCCAAGATGGCGAACGCAGAGCAACTATGAATGCAATTTTCGGCATGATCACAAAGGAATATTTCTGTGACCATCAATTGGAAAATTCGTTCAACAAGCACCTTTTACAAAACCTCAAACGCTCACCTTCTTTCCCGGCAGCTTGTAATTTCTTTCCTAACTGCATGAAGAGTAAATCTTCTCGTTTCTGCAACAAGAAATGCAGGGAGTCGACATCCTTCAAATCTACGTCCCTGCTTTGCCCCAGTGTCTGAGGTTTGAAAACAGCTAATCGTTCTTTGGCGACTTTCTGCATGAGCACGCTGTTGTCTCCCTCAGCGGTCATCGCCGCGTGAGCGTTGCCTAGGAACGTGCCGAAGCGGTTACACGACAGGAAACCCTGCCCCCCGCAGCGTTCGCGCGCGATTGACACGACCTCGCCAATATTCCACGCAGCCAGCGGCTTGATGACGCAACACATTGTGACGATCTCGGGATGTTCTGAGCCGTCAGCTTTTTGATTTGCCCAGCGGTCTTTGACATAGTCCAGACCGAAGTTTATCCCATAGGTCCTTGCGAAGAGCGGCAGTAAGGCGCGTTGTTGTAGCTGGTAGTTTAGGATAGGAGTGTCGGATTTCCCTCGGGGGCCGACCGTGAGCCGAGTGGACGCATATCGGGTAGCGATCGTTAGTGAGGCTTTGGCAGCGCCCTGACACATACTCGCGATGCATATGCGCCCTGAGAGCAGTTGGTCAGCGACTGTCAAGAACCGCGCGCGGTCGCTTTTGATAGAGGACTGGAAGGAACCATCTTCGCTGACGTCGGAGTAGCGATTGAGGAGATTCTCGCGAGGAACGCGTACGTTGTCGAAGAACAGCTTCGCATTGTCGACACCGTTCAGGCCCATTTTATGTCTGCAAATATACGATCTCAAACTCATTAATAATTCTCATTAGCCAACCATATTGCTTTATTTTTCCCACATGATAATACTGGATACCTGGTGAAGTATATTGATCCAGTCCTAGGACTGGATCAAAATTAATTCACCTCACTTTAAGTAGTGATGTATTGAGAGTGATGTATCGTAATTTCGTATGATATGTCATTTCAAATTCTCCAACTCGGACTGGAATAGATTTCAAGTCTTCGCATTTTGATCAAATTGCGCGCACTTGAAATCTAGTCCAGTCCTCATAGTCGAATTTGAAATATTACGTAAAGCAATGTTAATGAAAGAGTCTTAAAACAGTCTTCGAGAACTCGCAATGCCTAATGAAATATTTTGCTTCAATTTGTGGTCAGTGCTGGTGTGCTAATCATTCTTGCTCGTCCTGGCTTTCTAAGGTCGCCTCTGGCAGCCACCTTCAGTGTGTTGGCCAGAAAAAAATTTTTGTCCGTTAAACGTAAATTGGGAAAGATTTTTTGACCGATCAAAGTTCTTGTGTTGAAATAAATAGTGTTTTTTCCAACGTGTTTCTCCTTAGATGCAAACAACGGTAGCTAGCTTGGTTTTTTTACATTCCATTTCCGGTGAATGAACAATGAAAAATGCACCCGATAGCACTTCGTTTTGTATATTTGAATTTCATTTCCGGTGAATGAACACGGATGCACACCGATTACACTTTGTTTTGTACATTTCATTTCAGTGAATACACACCCAATATGAGTGAAACGTGATACATTTTGAGAAAATAGTCAGTGGGAAAAAGTAAATAAAACGTTCTTTGATATAATAATATAAAATCAAACGCAATGCACTTTCTCATCAGAAAAAATGAAAATCTTTAGTAGACCCAGTTGGGAAAGCCCCTTTGCTACTTCAATTGGGAAGAGTCCGTCAAACGGACAGTATATGGGCTAGCTAACACGCTGACCTTATAATTGACTCTTGTCTGATCACGGGCACAGACACGGTGGAAGCCCCGATGAATCTTTGACGTCGTATTTTGCTCTGCCCGGGGCGTTCTCCCAATGTACTTACCCCATATCCTCGACACGCACTCCAGGCATTATCTTGAGATCATCGTCACGGATTCTTACCAACACACCGTGAATACCTACAGAACACATAACCACAGAATAGAAACAAACAGAAGGACAACTTCTTGGTTTTTCCTATGATTTTGGCGTAACTGTAATTCATCATCAAAATGCTGACGCCATATTCCTTGCCAGTGCGCTTATGAGAGACATTCATCCTGGGAAATTGCTAGATAGTATACTTCAAAATAAGGTTTCCGTTTTTATATCAATTTTCAAAATAAGTTAGGGTTAGGTTAGGGTTTAGGTTAGGTTAGGGATAGTATTAGGGCCACGGTTTAGTTTTGAGTTAGGATAGATAGATGAGATATTAAATATACATGCGCCGATTCGACATAAGCGAGTAAAGGGGAACTCGGTCCCATGGATTACTCCGGAAATTAAATGTATGATGAGAAACAGAGACTATCATAAAAAATATGCAATAAAACATTCCTCACAGCCACATTGGGAAAGTTTTCAATTTCTGAGGAATAAAGTGAATGTTGAAATGCGAAATGTAAAATCAAAATATTTTCATGATAAAATCACTGATTGCTCTGTAATGAATGACCCTAAAAAGACTTGGAAATTAATTAATTCATTATTGGGAAAGAATAACAATTCCAACAATGTGAATGAGTTGCTGGTTGACAGCACGTTAGTTTCGGATCCTAAATCTATTGCAGATGCATTTAATGACTATTTCATTAGTATTGGGTCGAGGCTAGCAGCAGAATATGTAGACGAGTCCTGTAGTAATGGTGATAATCAGCCCATAAACTATAATATTAATCAATCCTTAGATACTTTTTTTAAAGTATCTCCAATATCCGTTGATAGTGTTGCCTCGACCCTAAGAGGCCTAAAAGCATGTAAAGCAACAGGTCTTGATAAAATTCCTGCTAAAATTCTAAAATTATCTGCAAACATAATTGCACCCTCGTTGACATTCATCTTCAATCTGTCGCTTGCAACAGGCGTATATATAGATGAATGGAAGCGTGCTCGTGTTACGCCAATATTTAAATCCGGGGATAAAAGACAATGTGAGAACTATCGGCCTATTTCAATTTTACCGGTGGTGAGTAAAGCCTTTGAGAAGGAAGTTTTCCGTCAAGTATATAGATACTTGTCTGAAAGCTCTCTTCTGTCAAAGTTTCAATCTGGATTTCGTCCAAAGCATTCAACTGTAACTGCCCTCATCCAAATGTGTGATGAGTGGCTAGAAAATATGGACAATGGAAAGTTGAATGGGGTTGTGTTCATAGATATCAAAAAGGCATTTGACTCTATAAACCATCGCATTTTGTTAAATAAAATGAATGAGCAATTTGGAATTTTTGGCGTAGAATTAAAATGGTTTGAGTCATATTTAACAAATAGAGAACAGCAATGTAATGTTAATGGAGAATTATCTAGTAATAAAATTATCACCTGTGGAGTGCCCCAGGGATCTATACTGGGACCACTGCTGTTCCTATTATATATTAATGATTTGCCCGATTGTTTGAAATCAACTAATCCATGCATGTACGCGGATGATACTCAAATCTTTTCATCTTCCTACGATGCAAATGAACTTGTTGTAAATTTAAATTCAGATCTTGCCCATGTCTGTAACTGGCTTAAAGAAAATAGGCTGCAGATGCATCCATCAAAATGTAAAATGATGTTTATTGGCTCCCCGTATAATCTTAATAATATAATGTGTGAGGAACCCGTTGTGGCTAATGCAAAACCCATATCACGAATTGCTACACAAATGTGCCTAGGAGTAAAACTAGATGAAACCCTTAATTGGGATAGTCACATTGAAATGATATGCAAGAAGGCGAGCGCTGCTATTGGCGCTATGAAACGTATAAAGCCCTTTGTTCCAATGCATACCTTAGAATCGATTTATAAAAGTCTTGTGCAGCCCTACTTTGATTATTGTTCCCCCTTTGGGACACTTGTGGTAAGTTGCTAAGAGACAAGTTGCAAAGATTTCAGTCTCGTGCAGCAAAAGTCCTAACGGGTGCTAATTATGATACTCGCTCAGCTGATCTTCTCAACATGCTTTCTTGGGATACACTTGAAAATAGGCGGTCTGGTGCCAAGTCAGTATTAATGTATAAAATACTTAACGACCACACTGCGCCAGGTCTCCGGGGGTCATTCGTGAGAAGAGAAATAGATCAAACTAATTATCATCTTCGAAACACAGCAACTGATCCAACAATTCCTAAACCGAAACGAGAATTTCTTAAAAAAAGTTTTAAATATAGCGGCGCTATGCTCTGGAATCAACTCCCAAACGAAGCAAAATTGGCCGAGTCGCCTCATTCGTTTAAATCAATTGTTGGACAGCGACATGCTTCCTAATTATTTGTATATAGTAACGTGTACAGTATGTGTGTACTAATATTTAGTTTAAATTTTCCTTTTAATGATTTTTAAGATCTAAACACGCCCCCCATGGAAACCAGCCTAGAGTTGATGGGGCTAGCGTGTTCTTCTTTCCGTTAATTTTAAATAAAGTATTACCTACCTACCTACCTACCTACCATTCCTAAAAATCGTATCGATTTTGTTTTTCGATTTTGTTACATTTTGGTGGGAAAATGACGTGCCAACTTTGGCGCCAGAAAAATAAACACGAGCTAAGAACATTCTAGTAACTTTTTTGAAGAGACTGTCCTATAAGGATCCCAAAACTGTAAAAATATTGAAAATACGCCAAAGCAGGGCAAAGATATGGTGCTTAAAATTCTGAAAAATCCGCCATTTTGTTACTAAAAATAGATTTTTTTCGAATTTTGAATCGCCATATCTTCGCACTGCCTTGTTGTATTTTTAATGTTTTTACAGTTTTGAGATCCTTATAGGACAATCTCTTCAAAAAAGTTACTAGAATGTTCTTAGCTCGTGTTTATTTTTTTTGCGCCAAAGTTGGCACGTCATTTTCCCGCCAAAATGTAACAAAATCGAAAAACAAAATCGATACGATTTTTAGGAATTGCAAGTTCTATCCTGTGAGGAAGTTTCGTGATATTCCAAACTAACGACAGAAAGTTATTTGTACGTGGCCGAATTTGCTGTCTTTTGTGCCCACCGTGGAACAAGGTACCGTCTGGTGTCGCAATTGTAAGACCTAGTAAGCTTCAAGGAGATGCCTTATTGAAGAACTGCTGGCGGCAACTGAAAAATGATAGTTCTACTGGGAAGAACTGAATTGAGGTTGGCAAAAAATTTGCCTTAATAAAAAAGATGGCGGCTGTCGATCTACCCACAATGCATTGCAGTCGGAAATGATTTAAAACAACAGTTAAACGTTTTTTAAATAACACACAAGAGACAAGACGTCAGTTATTCCTATCTGTTAAAGTTTCATCTCATTGTCTGTTTTTCTTGTCACTCTTTTTTTCGGATTTATGCTTGCTGCACGCAAAGGATTGTAGGTAGATCGACATGCCGACATCTTTTTTATTATGGCGAATTGCTGACCTGGAACGTTGACAGGTTGGTTTTTAGGTTGGCATTGCCGGATGCCGAGCTCGTTTTCAAGGGCAGAATACTTGAACAAACAAACCCCTACCTACCATGGTTTTGATCATCAATCTTCAACTGAGCAAACACGACACAATGTTGAGCATGAAGGGCACCATTAGTGATCCAATATTTCTGAGCAAGTGTCGTGGGTGTGTTCACGATGAATTCCTGAGTCTGTTTGTCGTACGTGGCTGTCGTCTCCATTTCAACTGCATTGTTACCGTAGCCAAGTTCGGTGAGGCCAAAACAACCCACATCTTTTAACGTGTCGATACCTTGGTGCATTAAGAATATGAGAAAATATAGTTGATAAAAAAAAGTTTTTGTAATCTAGCCCCCTTTTTATGTTTCAGGAAGGATTTTTGGTACAAATGGTTTATCTGTTAATGTACATGGTATTAGTAAGCTGAAAACTCAATTGCCAACCAAGAATTACAGTCGTGCCAATAGAAGCGTTCCGAAAAATGTTGACCAGTTCATTTCCTAACTTTGAGGAGTTCCTCTAAACAATTCCTCAACAATTTGATAAGTTTCTTAAAAAGTTCCTAACTTCCCGTTTCATTGGCCAATTAAACAGGAAGTTAGGAACTTTTTAAGGAATGTATAAAGCAAAACATTGAAGCAAATGCTGCCAAATTATAAAATGCCTGCACCAATCCCTCCTTAGACTTGGATCAAGTCCGTCTCTCCAGAGTCCGAGTCGCGAAACAATGAGACTCCGCACGCTCAATCCCTCAGACTCTTGAGAGACTGACTTGATCCAAGTCTAACCCCTCCTCTGTGCAGTGTTTAGTTTATAATACTATCAATACCTGGCAGTAACATTTCATGATGTCGTTCAGTGCCCAATTTCAATACTGTACCACCAAACAAATTAAACTGAACTGTCATTTTCGTCGTCATTGCCGGGTCGACCACAGCCGAGAGTTCGTGTGCGGCAAAAATACGCCAAGGATTGTTACGAAAGTCCAGAACGGAGATATAGTCATTATCGCACATCGCTTGAAGCCTTTTCAAAGCTAAATCTCGTTCCTCATCAATGGAGATGTTGTATTTGGGTTTCATGAGGTCACCCGACAGAAATTCTCGGCAACTGTCACGCATTTCGTGGTTGTCATGGTCAAGGACGTGTTTCATTTCTTTAATGTCGAAGCTTGGTTTCCCCCATGCATCGTGGAGCTCCTTGGGGTTTGGGTTTGCATGGGTAGGTGTGGTCGAGATATAGCGAGGGGAGTGGGGTGTTGTGTGCTGGGTGGGGAGTGTTTGGGTGACTTGAAGTGAAGCTGCTCTCAGATATGTTCTGGTCGCTTGGTGACCGTGAGATAACAACCTCGGTATGCGAAGTAACCTTTGCATGGTCTAGATAATTGGTAAAATTAGACTGTATAGCACACCCCACAAAAAACTTGCACTCCGACAAAAAATTTTCACCCCCCCTCGAGAAATTTAAATGCTCATTGGATTCAATGGCTCTAGGTACGAGATTGCTTCATTGCAAAGTTCAAAATCACAAGTATGTTTGTAAACAAAGCCTATGACTCGTCCATGAATCAAAGCAAACCCAATAGAATTGCAAAGTTAGGAATGACGTTTGGAACATTTTAGGCAAAGCTAAGTTGAAATTGATAAAATAAAAAAAAATTTGTATTTGAATATGCAATATTACCAGGCAGGCAAACTGCAAATATTTATACAAGAAATAGCTCCCCATTGTGATTCTACAATAAATATCACACCTACGAATCTCTCCTAACATTTACAAACTTTTGCTTGCCAGGAAAACGTAAGGATTTTATTGATTAACACGTAGTATTTTTATTACAGTATTTTTTATACCAGTGTGTATAGCTGCCTGAATTTAAATATTTGTTTTGCACCAAAATATCGCTTTTAATGCCACTTTCATTTCAAATTATCTTTATAGTATAACTTACCGTTTCAATGAACACAAACTGAGCAAAATCGTCGCAGAAATAACGCAAAAAAGCAGAAAAAAACAAGAAATTATAGCACCCTTCCTTGCACAAAAACAATGCCAACGAAAAAACCGCGCGCGGACTGGGGGCCAAAATACAAAGTCCTTTCTAAAACTCCGCCCACTGACCTCCCCCAACTGTGATCTCGTTATATAACTGGAGCGTTAGATGACAATTTGAATGACATAGTATCGAACAATATATCTTATCTTTATTGAATATTACCCGACAGTAACGCAGCTAGGACCTATATTCTCAGTTAAGCAATGTTCAAGAAATGTTAAGGGCCTTCATTGCTTTGGAGACCCGTTTTGAGTTGGGGGCCAGGGCAAAGTGCCCCCCCTCCCCCTCCAGCCCCTTTGAACTTCACTCCTCAGAAATGTTGACAATTATACGAAAATTAAAGTACAAAATTGACACACATAATGAAAGAAAAGTAAATGAGAAATAGCATTTGAAAAAAGTTAGTTTTATTATTAATTTCTCTCGTTATTTCATTAATTTACAAAATATAGTCTATATAATATCAACGTTGAATTCGCTCAACGGCATTTAGTGTTGCGATGCAAATTGTGCTGGGATTTGGGCTAGCGAAGCTTGTACTGGAAATCTAGATAATTCTGTGTAGGTGAAGTTAATTAATGGACTGCTTTATACCAGAGAGGGATCATTTGTCACATCGAATCAACCGTCTCTGGCATAAATTGACAACCAAGACTGTTCAATCTGTAAGATCTACTTATGAACTCTTCTCTCACGAGCGAAGAATAAATATGGCACTGAGTAATTACACCAGAATAAAGAATTGAGGGGCGAAACCCTGGGTACGAGGTTGGTTTTGAGCATGCGTACTATAACTAAACTTAAAGTAAAGCTAGATCTTGGCTGCGTTGTTTTAAAAAAGTATAAATATATAAATATTTTATTCCCATTGATTTAGTGAACATTTGTGGCGAAATTCTTGTCCTTTTTCGTGGATCCATTTATTGGCCACTAAATAAGAGAACAGATTATATTAGATCATATTAGACCATAAGATTTATAGCCAGTGGCTTTTGAAAGACCTATAAAGTCTGGTACAAAATATCACAATTCACAAGCATTGTTTAGAAGCAAGTGGCAAGCAAGCGATCACACCCATTTAACGTAATTGTCATATTAAATAATGACTATTAAAGACCATGTAAAGTCCGTAATGTAAACAAACGCTTTGTCTACATTTTGAACTCAGTGCTACAGTTGTAAAATATGATTAGATATATATATTATACTGAATTTTTAACACTCTTCTGGTTCGCTATGCTTGTAAATGAATACAGACTAGAGATTCAATTCAAGAAAGTTCAAAAGATACGAAATATTAATAACATTCCAACGGTCGGGTCCCGACCATTGGGATGTAAGCCTGCGCAGAACGGACTTTACATGGTCTTTAAATAAAACGTCAGCTAAAGTTAGCAATATGCCACAACATGTGCATTATACACAATCTGTTTTGTTCTATGTGGGATTCCTTACAGCTCTACTGATAAAATTTTTAAACAATCAGAATTAATAGTTATGTGATTCGTGAAACACAGCTACAGGTTACACTTACCCCATTTTGAGCCAACAAGCACAGGGCAGGCTGCGTGACGTGTGTTCTGATTCCCCTTGCCATTCTTCAGTAGGTTATACCAAAATACTCCATCGCCCTGAAACAGAACAGGATTGATGACAACTGATTCTAGCTTCCTTGAAAGGATACATTTCTCCAAGGGGACTAGAGCTATCTGATATAAATACTAACCATTATATCTTTAATTCACTAATATTCTTAATGATAGGTTGTTTATCATCCCTTTCTCTTATTCGCTTATTTGAATAATGTAACTGTTTATAAAAATTTGTGTACTATTCGAAACACGCTTGTAAATAAGTTTAATTGCTCTGAAGATGTTGTGAATAATACAACGAAACGTTAGCCAATAAATTTTATATTTTTGTTATGTCTTGTCTGAAAGTCATTTGCTGGGCTTTAATTTTCATTTTTAAACTACGCTTTCCACTCGGTGTATCAATCGCTAGAGTTAGTTTAATTTAAGTTCTGAAGTCTATTATTCACCTTTCTCGGTTCTACCAAAGCACCAACGTTGATGAATGCTGTACCACCTCCTAACTCAACATCACTCATCTAGATTGGGGGAAAATAAGAGTTAGAACAAGACATCTAAATTAGAGGGACAAAAAACATTATTTGAAATGGTTACACTTTAGTATATAGAAAGAAGATTGGCCTATAAAGGTTCCAGTAAATACACTTTCGTCAAGGAATACTTCGATAGCGTAAACCAACTCGGGAAATCCGCTCACCAATGACACTCAATAAACATAAACAAACAACAAAACGCATTTTACCACCTTCATAAACGTTTCTTAGGACGGCTAAGAAAACCACTGAACAAACCTACCAAATCCCAGAGGAATATTTTGACTCGAGCTCTGGCTAAGATATTGCCCAACTAACTTACATAATAAAGCAGTGTAGCTATTCTGTTCCCAGTCCCCAGACTGGGGAATTTTTCCTCGTCATCCTATAAAGACAAATGCTAGATAACACGAGAGACACGCGACTATGCCAGGCACGACACTTACATAATAAAGCATTGTAGCAAGTCTATTGCCAGTTCCTAAGTCGGAGAATTTATCCTCGTGCTCCTGAAAATTAGTTTGATTAATTTAATTAGTTGATTAATGTTAATTAGAATCAGTACAATTATTTAATTAGGATCACACAAGTTAGAATGAGTTCATCAGGGTTTAGGTAAATCAAGATTAATCAAATTAAATTTTCTGTAATTCGTAACTTTAAAATTATTGTTTATCTTGACATGAAAGATTGCAAGCAATGTTTAAAAGTTAACAAATCATTTCATTATTAAACTGTTCGAGAATAAAAGACCCTCAATGTTTTAACATTAGTAGAACGAGCCAGTGCTATTTTGTGTTTATTATTTTTTCTGTTAGCGAAAGAAAACCATTTTAAGTATTATTTAATATTTACAAACATAACTTCCTATTGGGAAGGAGAACTGGGAAACAACAATAGTTTCATAAAATTATGCAAGATTTACATTTTTTGATTAAACAAATCTCAGAGAAATTTCACGTACTTGTGCGTGGTCATAATGTGGCTCATAATGTCCTCCCATTCCATATGTGTTCACCTAGGAACAAAGCCAAACATTTTAGTGGCAACGGGTATTTTCCTTCCTTCGTAACACTGGATCAATAAGAGATAATCTTTACTGGACCTCTAGGAACAACAGTTTAGAACCGATAGAACTATCCAGTATAAATAAAGTTAGTTTAGTTTTGGTTTCCTCCTGCAGTAATACTGGATCAATAAGAGATGATCCTTACTGGACCTCTAGGAAGAACAGCTTAGAACTGATAGAGCTATCCAGTATAAATAAAGTTAGTTTAGTTTAGGTTTCCTCCTGTGGTAACACTGGATCAATAAAAGATGATCTTTACTAGACCTAAGGCTATCCAGTACAATTAAAGTTAGTTTATTTTAGGTTTCCTCTTGTAGTAACACTGGATCAATAAGAGATGACTCTTACTGGACCTCTAGGAAAAACAGTTTAGAACTGATAAAGCTATCCAATATAAATAAAGTTAGTTTAGTTTAAATTTCCTCCTGTAGTAACACTGGATCAATAAGAGATGACTCTTACTGGACCTCTAGGAAAAACAGTTTAGAACTGATAAAGCTATCCAGTATAAATAGAGTTAGTTTAGTTTAAATTTCCTCCTGTAGTGCATCAATAAAGAATGGCCCTTACTGGTGCTCTATGGGGAGTTGGGTTAATTTTATACATGGCATAACTGTATGTACCCTGATGTACCTACCTGTAGTTCTTCAGCAGTGCTCAATGTCAGTCCAGTTAAATATTCAGTTCTCTTAGTTATTCTTTGGATCACAGGATCCTCCTCATCTTTCAGCCAACCGCTGTAACAGTCGAAAACAAAAATAAGACACCAAGTAAAGTCGGTTTCAAGAATGAGGAGTGTAAGCCTACAAAAAGGGATTGTCCCCCTCAGGATTTGGCCTTCCTACAAGGGGCAATGAACCCATTAAGAAATAATGTGCACTACTTTATTACTCTTTACTTCATCTAACACCATTCTACACCATGTATAAAAAAACAAGACCTTTAGAAATCAAGCTGTTGTTGGAATTTGAATGCATAGCACTATGCTGAAACCACCGGTGCGTGAAACAGAATAGAAGTGAATTTTATGCATAACGAAGTTATTTAAAACTTTAATTTGGTTTCGTCCATCATATGAATAGACAATTTCTATTATAGACTAATTTTAAAACTAGGCAAGGAGATGCAAATAAATCACCACAGCCAGAAAGAGCATACTAAAATTAATAAAATTGCAAAGTTTGGTTGCGAAATGTTGTAAAATGAGGAAAATATAGCCTTGCAAAGTTTGCAAACTTTGTTTACTTTTGTATTGCGTGCGGAAATTCCTACCACATTCCTACCACATTTGGGCCGAAAATGGTAGCAATTTCCAATGGGAATTGTCTATTATGTGCTGATTTAACGTAAAACAGTAAAAAACTCGTTGCTCTGTGGTCGGTTGAATCATTTTTATTCGAACTGAGCATAAAATATTTTGCTTGACAACAATAGTTTGATTTCTAAGGGTCTCGTTTTTTTATACACCCTGTAGACTGATGCTCCCTACTTTGTTATCTACTCTGTCTAACTTTCTTTGTGGGGAGGGAAATTATTGGGCTGTAATGGATTAATCATTTTCATTAACTTCCCACGAATGCTCCCCACTTTATTAGAGGCGGACCATTAGAAAAGTGATGGGGGGGGGGGGGGGG